TCTTACCCTCTCCGTCCTGCCGGTTACGGGGCCTCTTCTTTTTTCATTGCTCCTTTCGTCGCTCTCTCCCGCCGTTTCTCTCCCTTTCGACCCGTGTTCCCACACTCCGTGGACGCGTACCGCACGAGAGACGATCGCATCCCCGGTCCGGCAGGACGCTCGTTGATGCCGTGGCACGCACGCGTGCTCCGCTGCGTGCACGTCGAATCCCTCGGCGATCGGAACCATCCTCCTCCGGACCTGCCCTCGCTCGCTCTCCCCTTCCCTCCTAGTTTCCTCGCGATTCGTTGTCGCGCTCTGTCCCTCGACCGCGGCCCTCTGGGATCCGATAGGTAGGGGGGTGAGACATTAACCGAGTTCTCCGACGTGCCTGGGAAACGCGAAGTTTCGTAGGATCCTCGGTATTCCCGGCGAGAACCGCGCGAAGTTGAAGCGGTCCGTTTCGTGACCTGTCCGAGGATCGCGATGGGATGTTCGACGGCTATTGAAATCGATTGGTTGCGTGAAATTAATGTGTGGCCTGCGTGTGCTGGCGGGGACGAGGATCTGCAGTTGAACTTCGCACTTTAAAGCTGTTCGCTTGTTATTCTTACAGGGATCTTTGGAATATTCAATATACGTACCGTGGATCGCGTATAGCGATTCTCTCGAAGTTTCGCGAAATCCGGGAATAAAACGATCTACGGGAAAACGGGGGTGGATCGGAAGGGAACAGTGTCGGGAAGGCTAACTCGAACGCTTTGCCGGGAGCCGGAGGACTAGCCTCGGAAGAAGAGTTTGGCAGGCTTAAGACAAAAGGTGATTAGGATACGCGCAGTCGATGGTGGTTTATAAAGACCCCCATAGCGTGGCGTGATGAGGTCAAGCAGCAGGGAGTCATCCGTATACCGAGGGCCGATCAAAAACTTATCCTTGCGACGTGATATACTGCCCGTAGATGCCTGCCAACCTCTTTCTCCCTCTTTCCTCCCTCTGTTCGACGACCTGGCCCTGGCTGCCTACCAAAGTAGCTGCTTGAACGTCAGTGATGGACTCAAGACGTTCCAAACGTCGCGCAGAATCGGAACATTTCTACCCCATTTCCGAACGCGTCGAGAATCAATTTCCCCTCATCGATCTGCACCCTCGCAGCCACCTGTCTTATCAGTTATTAATCCGAGAACTCTCGGATCGATCGCACTCGATATTTATACCTGTCGATTTTTCATTTCCTTATCCTCGTGTTCGATGATTCCTGTCCCTAATCGTGCGACGGTGTTCGAGAGAACGCGAGGGAAATCGCGACAGTACCCCTCGCGGTGTAAATCGCTTCAGGTCGTTATCATTCCTCCTCACCGGCGTCCGTGTTCGTGGCCGAGAAAATCATCCGGTTAACAGGTTAAAGAGGTCCGAGTGAATGTAATTGGTAATAACGATTAAGTTTCTATATTCGGAACGGGCCGAGGCTCATAAATCGACAATCGAACGTCCATCACTACCGACCTCCGGTCGTCCTTTCCTCCGGCACGCCGTTCCGCGATCCTTCCTCCTATCCGTTACCCCGGAGATGCGTGGTCCGCGCGGCTCATGCTGCCCGAACCTGCGGCCTCGCCATTAAATTGACGCCCGCTGAGACTTGTATTTGCATAACCCGACGCCATACGACCGATCCTATCGACGTCCCCGCGACTGGCTGCCGCCTTCGTCGCCGCTCGCGCGACCCGCGTGGGAACCACCCTTCCTTCCCGCCGTTTTCGTCCTGCCGAGGACAATTTTAATGGCGGTCGATCAATGGCGGTGGCCCGCTTCGCTGCTCCCATCGCAGCCGAACGAATTTCGCGCAGGTGTTCGCCAATCGATGAGAATACCTTTTATCACTCTTGCTGGTTCCTTACAGATCAATCCTTGAAAACATATTTCAAATAAATACTGGAATATATAAACTTACTGCTTCCCGTTCACTCGAGAATATCGAAACTTCGAACCGCATCAGATTCGTCGATTGTTTCCGTAATGACGTATCGAAAGCGCGTTGCAACTTCTTTGAGGTTACTTCGGATAGAGATTCGATATTGAACGTCGACCCTAAGTTCCTCGAAGACTGAAGGAATTGTCGATTAAAAATGGAGGACACGTGGCGACCCTCCTGGATCCGCGGAGACGGAATCGAGGACATGGTCTTCGTAGGCAAAGACGTGATCGCCTGGTGCACAGGTGTGCACGTCGTGTTCTTTAACGTCGCGCAGCGGAAGCAGGCGATTCGATGGTGTTGCAACGCTGCAGCCGGCGACGGTGCGCACTGTCTTTCCGCTCACTCCACCCTGTCGATCTTCTGTTTCGCCGAGAGCGCTGATCACCCGAGGATTCTAGTCTACTCGTATCCCTCGATGACGCTGATTTCCGAGTGCCTGGGCGGCCATAGGAACAGATATTTAGCCACTGCCTTCACGGCGAAGGATCACATCGTTTCTGTCGGGTGGTACCCACAGTTCCCCATGGATGTTTGGTCCTGGAGAACCGGCGAGAAGATCATCACCGTGAACACGTTCATACACGACAAGGTTGGACAGATACTGCGAGTCACTCAAGGCGGAGCGAACGTGGTCGCTCAGATGGGCAGAACTTGCGGGAAACTTTATACCTGGGAACTTGACGTTGTGGGGAAAACTGCGACTCTTCAAGGTGAAGAAAGTATCCATATTCTTCATCTATTAATTACATAGTTCGATAAGAAATGGAAACTATTGTGCGATCTCAACGCGATCTTGAAATCGAAGGAGAAATCGTCGTTTCTTCGACACTTGCTGAAGTAAATCTTCTTTTCATAGAGCACGAGGTGAAGCTTCCAGGCGAAGTTCCCATCCAATGGGTAGACTGGTGCCCGACCTCCACTGAACCTTTACTAGCTCTGACTGACACAAACGGCCACATATTCCTAAGCAACTTCGACGGTTCCGACGTTCAACGTATCGTATTGTCCCAACGCTGCGGCGTCTGCATGGACTTCGAACTGCCGATCGTCCGTTGGTTCAGAGAAGGAATTCTCCTACGAACCACCTTCTGTCAAATTCGTTACTACGTGAAGAATTCGAGGACGAACCGATGGCAGAAAGATTGGTATCTGAAACTCGAAACGAGACCTCGCATCCTGGTGACGCATCCCCTAAAAAGTGACTGGTGCTTCTACCACACGTTCGAGGGATACTTGATGCAGCTCGAGTTCCCAAAGGACACCGGCACTCCTGTAGTAAACGAGTACCTACGTTACGGCGCCTCCTTCAAATTTATGGACTTCGTTTACCCATGGTGCCACCACGTGGTCGGCACTGAGAACATGAAGGAGTTGACCGTACTCGAAGCCTACAGCGGAACACAGACATCCGTCGTGGATCCGGAGATTCAGAGCGAAATAACTTGCCAGGTTTCTCATCCTGATTATCCTTTGATCGTCCTGGGATCTCAGCAGGGCGAACTGGTGTTCGTTAGCTTCGTCGATCCCGAGGAACCGAGAATAGTTGCTTTTCTGCGGCTGCAGGAGAAACCTTTGGATTTGATTAAGTTTTCCCACAGTGGAAGGTGAGAGTCGAAAACGTAGGATCTCTTTAACGCTTCGCCTATCGGAAACTTTTAACAAACTTTTCCTTGCAACAGTCTGTTAAGAGGTTCGTTCATAAATCTCCGGCTACCGATAACGTGTTTCTAACTTAGAGACAAAAAATCGACAGGCGAAGCGTTAGCATAAATTAATCATCGCAGATCTCTAATAGCAGCCGACACCCTGAGCGGCAACAGCTACTGCATCAGTCTGCGCCCGGAGAAAGCGTACACGGTGCAAGCCCTGGTGCAACCACATCGAAGGATCACCGACGCGCTGATCTACGAGGGCTCTAAGAAGCTGATGGTGTTGGTACTGTTCGTCGGTGCGAAACAGTTCTCCGTGGGCCAACAGCTGATGCTGTTCGCCGTGCCGGAAGACAAGAATCTGATGAGGGAGCACACGGAGATCCTGGAGTTGCCCGGCGTTTACCGTGCTCTGTGGCAGCATCCATCGAACGCGACGATGCTTATAGGAACACCGTATTTAACGAAGCAGCTGCGAGTGCAGCGGCTTCAAGATTTCCGGAACGTCAGCTTGGTGGACGGTATGATGACGGGACATCACGTCAGGCTGGCGAATCTGTTTGTCGACAGGCAATGGTTAACCACCGCTGCTTTCGACGGTTTGGTCCACGTCAGGGACAGGACGCTGCGACGCGTGGTCGCGTGCTTCGTGTCCCATCATAGATCGGATTTCGGCTGTGCGAAGGCGATCGCTAATAAGACCGGCGATCTGATCGTGGTCATGGGGTACAATGGTTCGGTGGTCGCTATGAAAAAGGTTCGCCTTCCCTGTCCTCGTTCGATGCGCTTATATGAATATTCATTCGCGTCCTCGGCTATAATTAACTTTCTCCTGTGCATTGTTCTCCTTTCTTCAGCGCAGGAGAGTGCACCTGCGAGTCCTACCGATCAGCCAGCTCTTTGTCCAGTGGATTACACGCTGTACGAGAGGAACCGAAGGAAAATCCTCTCCGATTACGCCGGTCTTGCTACAGACATACAGGAGATGCTGTCGCGGCCGAAGTTTCGATTTCCCGATCTCGAAGAGGACGGTGGCAAAACCTGGTTCGAGTGGAGAGAGGAAGATCAATTGCGGAGAGAAGCGAAGGAGTCCGAACGAGAGAGAGCAGAGATTCTGAAGGACTTCGAAGTGTTAAAGAACAAAGTGAAGACGCTTCTGGATGCCAACGAAGCTTGCCCTGATATAGAGAAGCTTCCGGTGTCGGCTTTCGACCTGGACATCGCTGGGCGAGATCAGAAACTGAAGGCTGGTCGCGATAAATGCGAGGACATCCGACTGGAGCTCGAGCACAGCATCCTCGAAATGAACAGAGTGTCCATGTGGATGAGGGAGACGTTCTGGGATCCTCAGAAGGTTCTGGGGAAGTCCCTGGTAGCCATCTTCGGCGACAAAGTGGTGGCCAATTATCCTTCCGTCGCGGAGGATCCTCGAGCGAAGGATTTGTTGCAGTGGGCGCACTTTTCCAAGGAGAGTCTGCATAAAATCATGGAGGCCGATACTTTCCAGCCTTGGAGGCTGTACACCGAGGAAGAGCTGGAGGTGGAATTGAATAAAGGAATGAAGCTGTACCGCGAAGAGGATATGAAGATTGACATGTTGCTCGATGAGGAGGAGGACAAAGGAATCTCCGAAGAGGAGCTGGCGAAGCAGAGAACGCTGGAAGGTGAAAGTTGAAGTATTCATTAGAGAATGTTCCAGATAACGTTTTAATAGGAAGAGGTTTCCATTGAAATTCTGCGCGTAAATCGCTTAGATGTTTTTCGATTTTCCATGACAATTACAGGCACCATTGTCCATCGATTCATCGAGCCGTCGCCCTACTATTCCCAGATAGAGTCGTACGGATTCGGTCACGTGACGCTGAACAACCACTTTCTGCTGCACGACTGCGAGAAGATTCGTAGCTACTTCAACGCAGCGTTCGAAGAGGTGTACGCGTTGAAAGAGCGAGAGATGAAGGTGATACGCGACCGAATCGCGAGGATATGCCACATCAATTCGGAACTGGAGACGATGTTCAAGCGAAGAGTGTCTTATATCCCCGTCGATCCTAGTTGGCACTGGCAGGTTATTCCGCGCGAACGTGTTATTTCCAATCTTTCTCCTCTCCTTTCGGAAACATAACTAATGATCGAGAGAAAAGATAAACCCCGAGCACTGTGCTTAAAGCACCTAATTAATGTTACTCCGACTTCCGCAACAGATACATTACCTTCGGCTGAATCGTAGGCCGGGGATCTCAGTCTTCGTTCCTTCATTTGTTTGCGTAGGAGAGCCCTGAAGGCATTGTCAAGGTGTTCGATCACGAAGTCAAGGCGAAACCGTACGTTTCGCCGTCGCAGCGAGAAATCTTGGATAAGCAGGCGGCCGAGGCCGAGAGGATCAGGCGGTTGTTGCTGGCCGATGATTTTCGCGAACGCGCCTTAATGACGATGATGGACGGCGTGCTGGAGGTTCGATGGGAGGACATCATCAAGATAGACGTTCCCAAGCCCGCCTGCATGCTCGAGAAACGACCGGAAGACTACACCGAGGAGGACATACTCACGGCGAAGAAGTACGAGAAGGATGTCCAGTTCCTCCAGGAGGAACGCGAGCGCTACAATCGCATGCTGGACGCGGAGTACGCTAAAGTCATGGGACTTTTGCGGGAAGGGATCGACAGATTCAACGGGAAACTCGATCAATTGTTCCACGTAAGAATACGAAATATTTCCAGAGTTGAATTCAATAATTCGCCTTGCGAAATGTTCGAGGAAAAAATCGGTTCTCCGATCTTTCCTCCGAATCAACGGAATTACAGCGGATTATTGAAACCTTACTACCAGTTCCTCGCTGTACCAATGAATCCCTATGATCCCACAGCTGAAGATAAACATCGAGTCGGCCATAAATCAGATGCATCTACGATACGTCCGCGGCTGCTTGCGAAACTATCACCGGACGAAATCCCTGCGCAGGGAGGAGGAGATCAAAGAGGGAATAGCTAGGAAGCAGCGGTACGAAGCCGTCTTGCAGGCGAACGCGCAAACCTTTCGGAACGTGCATCAGGAGCTGGCGCTGCAGCACGAGACGACGGTCGCCCGCGAGAAGACCATGTCCAAGCGGTTCAGGCACGACTTCGCCTCGTTGAACAAGTTCCACGTGGAGCTGTTGGAGCATCAGTTCAAACGTCGGCCGAAGGCCAACCTGAGGAGCCTGTGCTCGTCCGAGCTCGCGGATCTAGCCAGCCACGTGGTCGACAAAACTCGGTTGGTCTACATGACGCAGGAGTGCAAGGATTACCTGAAATCCCTGGACCACCTGGACGTCCGGCCGCATTCCCTTCCGCCGACGCTGGAATCCTCCTATTGGGACCATCTGATCCGGCTACGTCGGCAGAAGATAGAGTCCGAGCTGAAGAGCCGGGCGAAGGAGGCGGAGATACTCGACGCGGAGACCGTGATCGAAGGATTCAAGCTGAGGATCGACAAGTGCAGGTCGGACATCGAGGGAGCGAGAGAGAGGCTGGGCGAGATCAGACGACATCGAACGACCGACGAACTGGACGTCGAAGTGCAGCTGGTCTTAAAGATGGGGCAAGTGGAGGTTGGTCTCACTGGAGACTTAGAGGACACCCGAAATGTGGTCTTGGTGTCTAGGAACGAGATACAAGCGGTGAACGAATTGATCGGCGCTGCTGGGAAGTGCAAGCTGGATGCTTTGTCTCGATTGTTAGACTTCAAAAGAGGCGAGTACATCTCTCTTCGCCTAACTTAGGTAGACTCTAGAATTGATAGAGACAAAGCTCGAGTTGGCCAACTCGAAGCAAGTTAGATCTACAGGTAGATCACCAATTGCTCACGTCGCGATCTAGGTACTCTGCTGAAAGAGTGGGTGCACGAGTGTCGAAGGAAGCACCTGAGCGACCTCCAGGAGGATCTCCATTTCATGGAAACGGCGACGGTGACGAAGGAGATGCAACAGTACCTGAAGAGGAAGGCCAAAGGTCTGCCTGACGACAAGACGTTCGATCGCTTGGACGTGGACATCGACAGGGCGAACGCGAGATGCGAGAGGGTAATCGAGAGCCAGAAGGCTCGGCTGGCCTCTATCCAGAAGGAGATCGCGGCCACTAGAAGCAAGAACGAGGAACTCGATCGGCGGATCGTCGAGCTGAACGCGGCGAGGTGCGACATGGAGCTGCGCCGCGATCGTATCGGCGAGGCGAGGTACCGGCAACACACCGAGAAGACGATCAGGATGGTCATGAGGCGATCCGATCTGATCAAGAAGCTGCAGGATAATTATGCGGCCTTGCTCGAGCTGCAGACCGAGTACGAGCTGCTGAGACTGCGCCGCTATCCTACGCTCCGTTTCAAGTTCCTCGACGATGAGGACAAGGAGGCTGGTTTCCGATCTGAAGGCAATCTTTGTCTCTGCTAACGACGTCGAACGTCATCCTTTTTCCCGCTGATTCTTCATCGGTCACGATCGATCTGGAATGTTTTATTTACCTTGCGATGTTCGTACCGATTTCAGCATGATTGATGACGCTCCCTGACGAGCAAGAGAGCGAGGAACTTAAAGATAATTATATTCCTGTTTACACTTTGAATTCCAGCCATTTTTCACAATTTCGCTGCTTGATAATCCCAGTTACGAACGTTCAGCAATCACCGAGCGAGTCGAAATTGAACCTGGTCATTTTGATAATTACCAGGAGCGTTTGAAGCACAGCGTGGAGGAGATTTTGCGCTGGGTTTATTTAACGGTCAAAGCAATAGACAAAATGAATAGACGTAGAGCCGAGGCGCGTTGTGCGGTGGGATGAATGTATTCACGTTTATTTTTCCGGTGTTTCATCAAGTTCCGAATAAATAATTGGGCATCTCGTTAGACGTTGAATTATACCGTAAAAAACTGTGCGATATTATCGAGCGTAACTTCGCGTCCTGATTCGAGGCGCGCCGAAGAGGATCGAACCTCGAATAGAATCGATTGATAAATGGTCGCGGGTCGTTCCGCTCCGTCTCACGGGACCCGGCCACTGTCCTCCGCTTTCCGAGTAAAAAATGAGCCGGAGCAAGTCGATCGCGAGGAATCGTAGAGAAAACACCGAGGAAGGGAATGAAAAGTCCGACGTTTAATCGTCGGGCGGTGAGTCTCGAGTTCTTTTCTCCCGCTGGCAAGGGGTTGGCCCCGAAAACGGGTCCACCTGGGAACTTCTCAGATGAAATTGATTCGTACGCGAGCGTTTCGCGGCGGACCGTAGGTATCCCGCGTTCCCGTGGCATCATTCATCTCGCTGCTATACTATTAGTACAGTTATTTATGGTGAAAAAGTGTATAGATCGCCGACACCTATTATGTATCGGAACCGAGGCGTCCCCCGGGTGATTTATACGCCGCTGCAAATTGCCGCTTGTCCTTTGTGAGAGCCAGCAAAGCGACTCTGATTAAATCCTTCTCGCGGCCGTAATTTCATGATGTTTAGAAGATAATCGTCGAGGGCTGCGAGAGGAACTGAAGGCCAGGAAATTGTCATCCAGCGAAGCTCATTGGTCCTTGGACTTTAACTTCAATCTTAAATGCAACTATTCAGTTGTTCCCCGCTTAACTTTCACTCATTAACCGTGAGAATGGTGGACAGTTACGAAAGATCTCGATAGTTTCGTTGAACGTTTACCCTCACCTGTTCGGCTGTATTCTTTTTTTTAAAAGAACGCAACATCATCTAAACACCTTAGCTGCCACCGCCTATCATTTCCTTTCACGGTGTTCAACAATCGTTCCAATTTACATCGGTCCAAAAAGAAGGAACGCCGACGGGGGCAGTCCCCGATCACTGTAAATATTTTCGCTCTAACGATCATATGATTTTTATTAATGAACCCTCGAGGATCCGCGCGGCTTTGTCCCCCGAAATGGTACAGTGGCCACGGTGTTATTCACCGACTTCCTCTTCGTCTAGCCGCCGGTAGCCGTGTCGAGTCACGGAATCCGGGATATTTGTGACCGGCGATCGATTAATCATCGTTCAGGCCGCCTTGACACCGGCATAATGCTGTCATCGTTACGCAAGAACACGGCGAACGGTGTTACGAAACGGCCGCTGGCTACGACTCTTCTTGTTTGTCGGCCGTTTCGCCTCGTCTTTACACGAAACGGGGGTTGCCGGCTCGAGGAACGTTCGACGCTTTGTGTCGAACGAAACGGTACGCTGACGGCTAGTTAGACAATCGAATATACCATAAACACCGCCGTTTCTCTATTAATACCAGCCTGGGAATCGTTCGGTTTCGCGAATGCGGTGTTACTTTCGTTTCCGTGGTCGCTCGAAAAATGGGGGAACAGGGTAAGGAAAGAGAAACGGCTGGAGGAGCAAACTTGTTGCGATTACGAGAAACACCGACGGTGAACGGGATGTTGGCCGGGTGAAATTAGTTTGAAAAGGACGAGCGGAAAAAGGGTCCGGGGCTCGCGAGCGCGATATTACGATGGCGGTCGAGGTGGTGGAGCGCGGCGGTACCACGGGGCCAGGCCGGTTATCGGGAAAAGCGGGCACTCCAATCAATGCAAATCAAATCGAGAGCCGTGAATACGAAGCGTATAGTCAAATCAACCGAATAAAAGCTTCGTGAATGTAAAAGACCGGTGAATGCGAGCGGCGCGGGCCAATCTGGTAATGCGTCTTCTCCCCTCCGCGCCCTCGACTTTCCCGTCGCTCTCTTTTAACCGGCCGGGGCCGGGGGGTGGGAAAAATAACCACCTCGGAATATTGCATCGCCGGACTCCTGTGTTTCGGACCCGACGACCGTGCTTCAACAAATATTGCTTCTTCGTGCCCTGTCCCGGTACGCTCGTTCGCGTCTACCCCATCGACCCGCGGAGATTTTGGAATCCGCCCTTGTTACGTTCTCCGATGTACTTCGAAGTCGAGTGGCGATTCGAAGCTGCTAACCCGTTAACCCGTTAGCCGACTGACTTTCCCATTAGATCAGAACCTATAAGCTTCTCGTTTAACCGCTCCAATCTTCGACGGAACCGACTTGTTTGCGTCCGTTTCGAGTCAACTCAAATTGGACGCGCGAGTAGGTTTTCCGGGTGATTTCCTTGACCTTGGTCATTAATCTTCCGCGAAATCGCTTAATCGTTGAATCAAGGAAAGAGCTGAACGGAGCTTGTATTTTGAAAATATTTCACCAGGGTCTTCCGAAGTTACACGTATCGATTAAATGTCCGAATCGAACTCTGCTTATTAAATCTACATCTTCCACGAACCAGCACTCTACGGTGAAACCTGAAGCTACCTAGGATCGCTGTAACCGTTGAAAAACTTTCAAGTACGATCATTAGTTCGAACGATGAACGCTAAACTTTCGAATGTAAGGTCGACGAGAAATCCTTGCGAACGGTTCGCCGTCGCATGTCCCGGGGACTTTACCCCCGGGGAAGTCGAAGAATTCTGAAAAACCATTGCGCGAGGTGGCTCCTCCCCGTCGCGTTCCGCGGCCGGCCACCCCGGTCCCCGTATAAGGCGAGGCGATCGTCCGAGGCTCGTTGGCGCAATAAAAATTTGACACGATCGTCCACCGCATCTCCCGTGGCCGGTGAAGAAAAACGGTCGACACGCAGGGAGACAGGGAGAGTAAGGGCAGGCTGGCGGGGCCCGACTTTACGACTCGCGCTACGCGAAAGGGCGAAAGGGACGACAGCGAAACTCGTTATTATCCGACCGTACTTCTTCGTGGTCGTCCAAGAAGAAGACGGGCCCCGGACGTCGATGGCGACGGCGGTCCGTGGGCCTCGCTCGATCCACGGGCCACTTTCAGACCATAAAGAGACAAAGGAGCGTTCTTCTTCTCCCTGGGTCCGCGCTGCCAGGCAGTAAACTCTCATTTTCGCGAGGGAGAGGGACGCACTCTCCCCGGGCGCGCGCGGAGGAAGGAGAGAGAAAGCTTTCCCGGTGAATACTCCGGGGGAGTTCTTCTGGGGTAACTCTGTTCGATTTTGTTCGACTAGCCCTGAAGTGTTCCTCGGTGGCCGATTTTCGCATATATCTTCGTTCCAAAGTGGATGGCCGTGGACAACGTGTGTATGTTCCGGGAAATGATAAAACGAGGGTTACGCGTAATCCCTTGGTGATTATGTATAATCAACTTGAATATTATTGGTGATTATCCATAATTTTCAGGGAGTCATGTATAATTGGATTAGTCGAATTTACTGTAACATGGTATTCAATAGAAGCTTCGTGAAGCTATAAATCAAGAGTCCTACGTCTTCAGTCAATGATACATGATTAGTAGAGTATTGAATCTTGCGAGAGTGATATAGTTTTCTATAAATCCTGGTTGTTTACTAGAATAAAGAATCTTTATTTTAGAAGGCGTTCCCACAGGTATCAAGGTCGGAAGAAGGTTGCGACTCACAGAGGGTAGTAGGTATCTCGAAGTAGACACCACCCTAATTAACTAAGAACGATGCTTTCTCCGGCTACACCGCAAACTTGGATACTTCCCGGCCAGACTACACGGTGGCCGCGTGAGATCTCCGGCTCCGCGAATCCACGCGGCCCACCCTTTCGGAATTTTGCGTGTCTAAAGTCAGTCATAGCGACTGGACGTCGTTTCGCGTGTCTAGCGTCGGCCCGTCCGTCCCTGGCCCGCTGGAATTCCGAAATTGTAGCTCGTTTCAGGTAATTAAAGGATTCTAGAGCGTAACACGAGGGTTGTTAGGTAAACAAAGATACGGACGTGGGAAAAGGTCCTGTTGCGTGTACGGAATCGTACTTCGCCGTTACTTCGCCGATTTTAGTTCCTCGCATATTTTCCTCGCCCCGTTGATTGCCCGAATGTGTGGCGCGAGCATTTAAGCCCAATTTACCGTGGATCGCCGGGTGGTTCTCTCGCGAAGTATAAATTCGCGCCTTCCCTCGTTCCGCGGCGCGCGTTTAACGATCACGAAGATAGCCGTAGACAGTTCCTCCCCGCCGGTCTTCCGTCTCGCGAGCGGAAACCGGCGCGGACGCGACAACCCGAGAACCAGCCCACGCGCCGCGGGTTGCATTATCTCGCTTCTTATGCTCGTCTATCGCGATCGAGTGGACCGTGTTTACCGTGACACTAATCCCCGGTAAGCCGGACGTGTTTCCACGTTCCGCGTACAACGGTCTGGGCACTTACGTATGCGCGAATCCACAATGCACGGATGAAGGAGCGGCCCCGGGACGCCACCCTCGTTCCTTTTCGGCGGATTGGGCTGAATGCTCGCGACGTTGCATCGTCCTGCCGCCATATTCAGCCAACCTCGAAACGCGGCTTCGCCCGTTGTTTCCTATAACCTACGAATCCATCACATCCTCTCGCCCCGACATTTCCAGCAACCCCTACTTACCTATACGTCGCCCTTATGTGTTTCCATGTTCTCTTTCGTGACATCGC